GAGAGAGAGAGAGAGAGAGAGAGAGAGAGAGAGAGAGAGAGAGAGAGAGGTGAGTTTTCACTTTTCAAGGGAGTGGTTAACTGTACAAATCATTTATTTTGTACATTTTCCTACTATATTATAAAAGAACACGACGGGCCAATGTGAGGGAGTAGACTAGGTAGACTAGGCAAAGAAAGTTACACATATGATCCCACATTTCATTGGATTAACGTTATTGACTAGGTAACACCAATTATTTCTACAGCATGGCTTGTGCAATCCAGCTCCCTCCCTCTATGACTTGATGTATGTTACTTCAACGATAGGTGTGTATTCAATACAATTATTATTCGTTTCATACAGTGCAATGACGTTCGCTGAACTTTGACTTGTAAGGGTCTTATATATTGTATCATCGTCTAACCAATACGACCATTATTACTATGCCAACAAGCTCGTGTAAGAACTTACATTGGGCCAACAATTTGTGTGCTCATTGTCCTTTTTGTATTGTCTTATGTAAATGTTTGTTCTTATCATTTCATTGTGCAATCACAATTCCAAAACGAACTCATTACAATTTCATTCTAAACATATGGAAAGAAAAAAAAAATGTACCATTAGTCGACTAGTGAGATTTGTTATTACATAAGTTACAAGAAAGGGATAAACATCCAACCACTAGACCATCCACTTGTTCTCAAACCCATTCTAACTTGTCCTGGCCTTACTGTCTCTTTTCAATTCTTGCCACCCATGTGTTTAGGACTTGGTACTAGTTGCAAACATATAGCAAATATGTCGTTTCATCAAAAGTTCAAGCATTGTCACTTAAGACTTGACTATGGTACGGTCAAAAAAATTTTGGTATTATATATCTAAAATTTACTATTTTAAATGTTATTTTTATAATTTTGTGGGTCATTTTACAATTAAAAAATTTATTATTTTTATAATTGATTTATCACTTTTACGGGCATTTTTACCACTGTTATAGGTGTGTTTATTATATTTGTGGTAATTATTTTTATCATTTTGATTCGATACAAAAAAATTATCACTTTTATAGGTGATTTGTCACATTTGTTGGTGTTTTTATCACAATGTGGATGTTTTACTACTGTTGTGATAATTATTTTTATGATTTTTTAAATAACACACCAGGAATAAAATATTCAAAAATATAATAAAAATAACAATAAATATAATAAATAGAAGTATCATACCAATTTTTTTTTTTCATTACCGTAGGCAACTCCGTTGGGCTATAAGTCTAAATTAAAGTATTGATTTACCCAAAAGCCTAGCAAATCCTAGAGCATGATCTGTCACCACGTCATAGTTGGGTCGGAACTCGTGGCTGAGTAGTCAATTGATGATATGGTAAAATATTTTGCTATGGGGAAAAAGATGGCTTTTCTTAGGGTATGATGGAGCTGTTTAACTGAATAATTTTGACTTAAAAGCCAAGTTTTTTTTCGTTTTTTGAGAACAAAGTGAAAGCAATTTGTCTTAACTAAAGTGTGTTGTAGGTCCAAATCCACTATCTTGGCTTTTTTAACCAAACAAAGTGTATCAAATTATTTAGAGTGTATTTGGTAACATTTTTATTTTTATATTTTTTGTATAAAAAAAATAAAATTAATTTTTATTTTTTTGTGATAAAAAATATAATACATATTTGATAATTATTTATATTTAAAAAATTATGAAAATAAAATAAAAAAACATGTTTATTATTATACCGAAAGTCTATCCCCCAACACCACCAAACCTACCACCACCGGCCACCCAACAACAACCACCGGCCACCACCAAAACCCCACCGATACATCACCCGACATCAAAACTCACTATCACCCGCCCACCCAACACTAAACCAAGCAAAATCCACCACCATCAACCACCACCGGCCACTCAACAACCACCAAAATCCCACCGATACATCATCTGCCACCAAAACCCACTACCAACCAGCCACCCAACACGAAATCAAGCAAAAACCACCACCATCAACCACCAGCAAAACCCCACCGATGCATCACCCACCACCACCCAACACCTAACCACGCAAAATCCATCACCACCGGCCACCTAACCACCACCACAATCAAAATCCACCACCACCAACCACCCAAAAAATTACCTTTTAGAGAGGGGTTAGGGCTATAGAGAGACATCGATATAAGCTAAGGTTGACCTTGAGAAGACGAACACCTTCAATCTTCGACAACTTTGAAGTCTTCGCATAGAGACACAAACGAGAGAGAAAGAAAAAAGTTGGGTAAGCAGTATAGAAGAATAGAGAAATGAACCTTTTACACTGTCAACCAAAAGTCCTAAATTTGAGTGTTAACAATATTCGAAAACAAGACCTCGTTAAAGGATAGGTAGAGAGAGGCACATGTTTTTTTTTTTTTTGGATGTTTTCAAAAACATCCTTTTAGATGTGTTCCATATTTTGGTCATGTTTTCAAAATATAGTAGAAAAAAAAAAACAAAAACATTCGGCAAACGTCTTTTTAATTTTTTTTTCCATAAAATGAAAATAAAAACAAAAAAATAATAATAACATCATGTTACCAAACGGTACCTTAAAATGAAACAATAAAAATCGATTAAATCGCATTTTACATGATCAGAAAGACTCAAACTTAAGATGTATAAATTTACGTCAACAATCACTTAACCGACCGGTACAATTTCACTATCATGGCTCTTGAATGACCATAATTAACATTAGGAAAAAAAAAACAGACTAAACATTAGGTGAGCAAGTTACATGAATCTCCTAATGATGACCAATTTGCCTCAATTTCAACCCAAATCTTACAAGGGCCGTTTGTTTGATGGGTTTTGGCAGGTTTAGAAGGGTGGATTTTAGTAAAATAATCCGATATACAATTTAATCCCATATTTGGTTAAAATTTTTAGATTTGGGATTCATAACCCAACCTGTAACTAGCTCGGACAACTAAACCCATGAATATGAATTTCAACAAACTATAGGTAGGTTTGAAATCAACCAAGGATTTAATGATAAAATAGCTTGTCTATCCATAATCTACCCAATTACAAAGAATTGAATATGACAATTTAGTCAATTACATGACAAATACGTATAGATAGGATTTGCCTACGAATTTTATGGACACAAAGGTGAGGGTTAAATTTGGGAGGGGAGAATTTGGTAAAACCAATCCAATCTCCCTACCCCAAATCATCCAAACATGTCCATAATAATGGCGAGACCTATATGGACTAGACATGAATACCCTCGATATCAATTTGAATAATATCTCAGCATGGGAAAGGCTTATAGTCCATTTTTGGTAAGAACATTTTACAAGACTGTGGAAGAAAAAAGGAGGCATGTCCAATCAATATAATGACAAAGATAAAAGGAATCTATGAAAGAAAATCAATACCAAAAGACCAGAATTCCGGATTATGCCATCTTCCAAAGGGACACACACAGCCTACATATTTCCTAAATGATGATGTATCATCTTCTTTTCAATAGGGCGGTGCCATCAAAGTCAAGCTCCCAACCATGATCACCATGGAGTCGAGAACTTCCTCTCTCTTCCCCCAAAACTTGCATGAGTTGCAACAAACAGTACTTCATGGTAGGGGTGGTACTTTAATCAACAGCCCATCGGCAAATTACTAAGTACCTGCTTTACTGTGGCAGATAGTAAATCGATTAGATAATATCAATCAAATTAATTATCCAAGTTAAGGCGGGTTGAATATGACGTCCTGTGAGCTGAATTTAAGTAACAAGCTTAAACCACTATCACCCAACAATCAAAAACTCCATCCCATCATTGCAAACAGGGTAGCATACTACTCAGAAAACAAAAGATTCATAGTTTCCATTTGGTACACAACACAACGCAGCATATGCACAACTAAACAAATATTTTCCTTTCACTAAGATGAACCATTTCAGGACAAACTAATTATACATCAACCTCAACAGAGAGCTTATATTTATTCAAATGATGGTGCATATGCATAAAAGTAAGATTAATGATAGGGCCAATCTTTTTTTCAAGGAAAATGCTGAATAAACAACCAAATTTGGACAGGACTTCAGGCTAATTCACATTCTCCAAACAGGAATTTATCCAATTTAGATATTAAAGGGAAGCAATAATGCATTGACTAGGCTGCAATCATAAGTCAAGGTCTCATGCATCCAACAAGGAAAATAGGGTATTCCATGATGTTGACAAGCATGTTGGGAAGCCTAACACAAAAGAGTATTAAACTTTAATAAGGATTCTCATAAACACCCAGACAATTAATCAATACCAGAGATCAGAAAGGGAAAATTTCAGATTATACACCAGTCACAACAAATGTACTTAACCGTGTCAATTTCAAGTACAAATAATAAATGGTCTGAGTCAGATACAACTACTAAAAGATGACCCAAGGATCCAAAACCAATATATATGTTCCATCCCAACTTGACGAACATAATATTTCCATCTTGACATTACTGAAATTATGGTTAAAAGTTATATGGAACTCAAATCATGCAGCTGTATAAAGGGTATGACACAAATTAGATCAGTAAATAAACTGTTTGACAGAGCATGCAAATGTAGTGACACTAAAAATATATCCAAATTATCAGAAAGCTAATGAAATTTTGACTCCTCTGCAACACAGAAGATTGGGCATATGTTTTCCGTTCAAGCCAGAAAATATCAAAACTAGGGCAATGTGAAACCTCACCAACACCATTTCCATAGTTTAGCACAAGGGTTTTAAGCTTTGCTGAGAATTCCAGATGCTGAAAAATTAGCGCCGGCCCATCTTAGTAACTAATAACATGGTTTGTGTATTCTGGCCAAAAAGCTTTTCGATAACCAAACAATGTCCTCCCGTGCCCATAAAAAAACTGAATTAGATAACCATTGAACAAGAAATGCAGAAAAATGCCGTTTAAATTTGGTATATGTTCTCCACATGTTTGTTTCCTTGGGCAACCAACTTCAACTGTTTCACATTTCATTATATATTATGTATGCTGCTTAAAAAAATCACATACTTTATAAAGCACCACATCAATGCATGGTAAACTGGAGCAACACATGAACAGCAATAAAAATTCACAAGAACAAGTATCAGATAATAGCTTCAACATAAAGGAGAGTAAAATTTGATATAACCAAACTAAGAAATTGCTAGAACAGAATATAGTGTGAATAGAAAACAACAAGTAATAGGAGTAGCAAACAGAAAAAACACAAGTTTAATGCTGAGAGCAGGTGGTTTGTCCCATTCTATATAGTCTTATCCTGTCCATCGTGCTCTGTTTGGTAGGAGAAATGAAAAGTGGGAATGAAAGAGAGGTAGGAGAAATGAAGAGGTGTCACTCAAAAAAGAAGTAGCCTTTCCCTCCTTGTGTTTGATTAAGTAGGATTGGAAGAAGGAATGAACCTGGTGTCGTTTGATTTCACCATCATAGAGGAAAGGAAGCTTGTAATTCATAGGCAAAAAGATTTGAAAAGAGGATTCATCCTTTCCCTCCATCTTTCTCCCACGGGCTCATAGGAAATATACATCTATGCAATTCCATTACATAGGCACACCAACAAATTTAGCATTTATTTGTTGTTGTGTTCACGCCATGTCCACGTCTGGAATTCATAGATGCTGGGTTCTGGAAATGTCTTATCCAGTCTCACTAAGTAAAATGTGGCTGTCAGGGAAAAATAGATCCATTAACACATCGATCTCTAGGTCAAATAGAAACAATTTAGCCTTGTTGAAATGACCAATCCTATCTTACCTATCACCAGAAATTCTTGTTGCCATTCAACCATAATCCTCCATTCATAATGATGCTTTTGTATACATAACCATACAGAAATACAACAGGCAATTCAACTACAAGACACTCAAGAAGCAGAGTGTACCCACTGCCCATATCCATTCATATCAATTGCAATGATTAATTCTCAATATAATGAGAGGCACAAGACAGTAACATTAATTATTTACTCATTAAAAACTATTGTATATTGCCTCTCTAAACACAAATTCAAAACAAACTGCTATCTAAAACATTAAAAAAAAACAATGCAGGTTAAAAAAAGAACCTTGCTAAAAGTGAATAGCCGCCATCACTACACCTCAAAAGAGCCCTAAACCAATCGCCAATTCCTTAGCTCTTTGAATTTGCCCTCTCATTTTCCACCTTTTGAGCAAAAAGCTTCGTTGCAATCATATTATCATCAAAATACCGCGCATAGGGGTGCCCCTTTGGAACTAGCCTCCTATACTTGTCAAAATTCTTCTCAGCCTCATCTTTCTTCTTCAACAAAGTATATATTATCCCCTGACACAGATACGGTCGGAAATCCCTCGGGTCCTCCTGCACAAGCTCTTGATAAATCCTCAAAGCATACTTATAATCCCCTTCAATGACCCGAATTTGCGCAAGTAAAAGCTTAAAATCCTTCAAATCATCCTTCTTGTTCTCTTTCTTACACATCTTCATTCCCTCCTCAATCCTATTCTCAATTTCCTTCATTTCATTATTCGAATCCTCCTGAGAAGCTGCTAATACCAACCCGTGATAAGCCTCGACACGAAAAGGGTCTTTATCGATTATTTCATTGAACCTACTTTTGGCCAACTCAGTCTCTCCACCATAGCAATGCATGTGGGCTCTCAACAATGGCCATTCAATGTCACTGGGCTCAAGTTCAATCAACCTTTCAATAATGCTTATGGCTTCGTGGACTTTCTGATTTTTTATTTGAATCTCCATCAGGCTTCGAAGAGCTTCAACATCATTTGGGTGAGACTGCAAATGCTCTCGAAGGGATTTCTCTCTATCTTTCTCATTTTCTTCCTCCGAAACGGTTTCGCTTTGGGTGCTTTCAACGGTGGGTGGGAGTGAAATCGGGGCTGCAATGGCGGGTTTGAGGTTGAATTTGGCGAAGAAGAGAGCAGTGGCGGTGACGACGGCAATGAAGGTGGTTTTGAGGAGAGAGAATAGGAAAGGGTTTAGGGTTTCAAGTAGTTGGGTTTTGGGGGTTTGGGGGTTTGGAAGACGAGAGTTAGATGATGTTGACGATGAGGATTTGATTGGAATGCTTGAAGTTGAGGATGAAGATTTGAGAGGTGGTGATGATAGCCTAGGAGAGCGGTTTCTGAAGGAGAGAGAAGAAATGGGTGTACAAAAAGATGGACTGTGAGGATAGAGTAAGGGAATAAGAGGTTGGTGACGGTAATTTACCTTAGCAAGAGTTTCCATAGTGTTCATGGTGTTAGGATTTAGGCGGGTGGAGATGGACTGAGAGAGAGAGAGAGAGGGGTGTTAGGGTTTTGGCCGGTAGAGAGAAGAAGAGAGAGTTCTAAAACCCCGCCGATGACGGACGACGAAGAGAATGCTCGTTGTACCCTGGAAATTATGGGCCGCTGGATTATGGGGCCCAAAATTAACGGGTTTGGTCCTGTCGACCTAACTGGATAAATATGATTATTTGGGCCTTCTGGGCGGATGTTCACTGTCCTACTGTGTTTTGGTAAAGTGGAGGATGATCTTGTTTCAAGTTCAAAAAAAAAAAAGGAGAGAAATGATGAGTTTTGGAAAATTAGTTGATGCATACGTGTATTATACGTAAATAATTTTGAATTATAATTTTAACTTTTATTTACTTATTCTGTGCAATGAAAGATTTCACATTTATTTATTCGATAAGGTTTTAGACATGATTTTTGTGGTTTTCATTATTTAGAAGAAACGAAAAGACTTTACATATTATAAGTGAATATGAAAGAAGGAAAAAAATAACTAACTGATAAATCGAAGAAAACCACCTACTTTTAAGCCTTTCACACCAAACAAAATAATGATAAAATTATTATTATTTTTTTAAAAATGTACGCAAATCAAATGTTATTGTGAAGAGTGGGAAAAAAGTACGCTTCTAGTATCATATTTATATAATAAAGTATAACAAATTTGAATTTTTGAGACAAAAAGTGGTTTATATCATTTTGTGATGAAAAAAAGTATCATCTAACGAATGACATTATCTCAAACTGTCTCGAGTTATTGACGTCTCAGATCGTTTTGATCTGACATATCACAATAACTCTTTTGAAATATTTTTGCTGCTCAAAATTTATAGTTTTCAAAATTTAATTCCGCTAAATTTTTTTCTTAAATCAAGCAAATCCTGACTCTCGACTCTCTCTCATTCTCTCTGTATCTCTCTCTCATGCTCAATTCACGCACACAGACACACCTCTTTCACTCGCGCTAATTTCACTTACACCTCTTTCGCTCACACTAGAGTCTCTCTCCCCCTTCCCCTTTTCTCTCTCCCCCCCCAAAATTTCATTCCCTAATTTTCCACCCAACTTATGCCCTAAAGGCTTTCCAAAATCATACTCCAGATTCTCTAAAATTGACTTTCCAAACTCACACACACACATATATTTGGATAAAATAGTAACATTTTAAAATAAAAAATAATAACATTCAATATTAATATTAAAAAAAAAATAAAACAAAAAATAATAACATTCAATATTAACATTTTGAAAAAATAGTAACATGAAATATTATCGGTAACACACTCAACAAAATAAATAATAGCATGCTTACAAAAAAAGTAGTAATATGAAATATTGAACAAAATTGAGATGCCAAATTAGTGACACAAAACACCCACTTGGATTGTTAATTCTAAATAGCTTTACCCACTTGGATGTGTGGGTGTAATTCAGTAATCATCAGCGTGCTGATGATTAAATTTTAGGTACGTAGAAATTGACATAGGTCATTTTTCATTTGTTATGCCTGTGCTAGAAGGACCATAGTAGCACGGGCAATGCGATAGACTCCTTCTTTGGTTGAAAGTTTTGAAAATTAATTTAGAGGAGATTAATTATGAATGTTTTATGGTTATTTGGTATGGTCCTTTGATAAGTTTAATTGTGTTCTTTTTTTTTTTTTTGTAAAATTTGAAATTCAATTACCATAGCAAGCATAGTTTAAATTCTAGATGTTAGTTTAGGTTAGCATTTTATTTTATTTTAAATGTTTTATGACTTTTATCATTTGATATTTAAAGGTCAATTGTACCAAACATCTTGGGTTGAGCAACATTGAGCACGATCAATTGCTAGTAGTCTAATATATAACATTATTTTTACAAAGTAACCCTTATGTTTGAGAACACAATCTAGAGGTTAATGAGCCGAATTTTAACTATTGAACCAATGGATCCAACTAAACATAAATCGTTTATATGATTACAAAGTATACGAAGATGACATCTTGTAGTTCTATGTCCATATTAGTGTTTAGATGAACCATTCGAACGATAAATCACACTGTTGTTGGCTTATTTGGATATTCCTCTATAAATTGAAGCATCAACTTGAATGTACCTAAAAACAAATTAGAAAAAAAAAATTACAATATAATCTTAAAACACTATAGGTGAAGTTTGAAATGCATACAAAAATCAGAACAAAATTCCACATCCATGTACTAAATCAATAAACTTTTTTGTTGAAAATCACTATTGAAGCACAATGAAGGTCTCTGTTTTTTAATGCACTATGTCACTATCCTAGACACGCTAAACTTCAAGTACTAATGTCTAACAAATCTCAATTTTCATGTTAAGAGTGTCATATGGTGATTTCATATCAACACTTTTACTCGTGAGAACGTTAAGAAAATAAAGTCACCTAACTATTAGTGTTGCAATGTTAGGATGCCATACGTTTTAAAAATTTCTTAGTTACACAAAAGGGAAATCCTTAGTATTGGTAAACTTCTTTGTCCTTGACCTCTATGCTGCCCAAACCAAATAAATTAAAAAACGAAGTTGTGACGCCCCTACAACCGAGGGTCCTTTGTCAACCCGTTGATTACTCATCAACCAGCGGAATTGCCCGTGAATACCACATAATCCGACACCACGGCACAACATTCCTTTTACCGGGATCACAACAACACAAAGTTTGGACAGAGTCTCTCTTGTACCAGGCACACCTAAACGCGTAACCTGTATACATTTAATCACATGACCCATCTGAGATCTAATACACATTAATTTTATTGTCGATTTATATAATTTGAACAAAAGAACCCAAAACCCAAAGGCCTAGCAAAAACATTTCAAAATTTGGACTCTTCTACTGATAGAACTTTTCTAGTGGGTTTCTACCGGTAAGACTTGTACATCTTCGTGCCCCATTTACTAGGATCCATAATTGACGTTCTTAGAATCTAAGTTGGCCCTTGCTTAAAATTATGTTTTCCTGTACTAAGACTTCCTAATTTCTGTTTCGACCCACCAATGTTTTCATTATAACACCATTTCAAGAATGACTTTTAGATCTTCATGAATAGTTCAACAAGTTCCTTCCATAGGTACTAAAAATTGTGCAAAAGAATATTGAACAATTTACCCCAACATTCTATAAGAACTATAAACTAAAATGCTCAACATGACATATTTGATTACGTTCCTCAGACTTCTCCTACAGAAGAACAAGCGTACTTGACAAAAACCTACATTTTGAATAAGGAGTATTTGAAAGTTACAGTAAACATCATTTGTTCTTAGAGTTATGTGGTATAAAATTACAAGAATTAAAGTCAAGTAAAAATTTACTATGAAGGAAAAGGCACTAAACCCATTAAATAGGCTTATAAGGTCCGTAAGGGAAAAAGACAAATTAAAGGAAAAGAAACTATCTTAAACAAAAGTTGTACGTAATGTAAGATACCTTACTTTGGATCTTTCAATAATCAAAAACGAAAAATCTACGGCTTCTACTTGTTTGTATCACAAATGATTCCTATTTGCAAAGAAATATCATTTGAAAGTCCAGTGATCACAATTAAACAATCTTAGTCAATCAAATAGGCATGAAATGACCAAGGAAAATATAAAGAAAATCATACCAAAAGGAAATTGCTAGAAGAAGTGTCTATCCTATTATTAATGTGTTACTCAAAAGAGGAAAATCAATATTATTAGAAGCTGAGATCAATTGAGAAGCACGTTCCATTTATTTATTAATAAATAAATAAAAATTCCTTTCATATAATTAGAGACCTATACCTAATGATAATTCACAACCAAATAAATTAGTTTTATAGTTTTAATTTTACAGTCTGTTATAGAAGATAAGTTCTCTTTGAATTGCGTGTTTGTTATGCGTTCCTTCCAATTTAATTCAAGTGCAGGCCATTTCACACTATAGTCAAGTGAAACATCAATACTGTCATTTCTTATATCCAGATAACACTAAATCAATCATATATACTTGATTATAGTTGAAGGAGCAACCACTAATTATTTTTATGCAAAAATTCAAAGAGGAAACAAAAAAAAAAAGAAAATGCATGAAGAACACATTAGGAAAAGAAAAACACCTAGCAATTAAAGCTACTGAACACTTCAAAATGATTAACAATAGCTGTCGATAAATTGTTCCCCAATCTTGGAAAATCCTTTTAATTGTGTCCCATGGTGAAAGAAATCCCTACTATGGAGGGATGAAGCTATTTGTAGTATTTCTATAAATTGCGAGCAAGCAAAGTTGAGTTAAAGCTTTACAATGGCAAATAGCTAGTTCCATAATGTTAAAACAAAATTAATTTTTCTCAATCATGTTAGATAGTCTTGTCTTATGTGATTTGTTATGCAATTTGGCCCATTTCATTGGGAAAAATAAGTTGTAATTATTGTTAAAAATGCAAATTTACCAAATAATTTCTTGATTTGATGAAGATGACACAACATAAATCTCTTATTTGACCATCAAAAAGTTCAAAGGCAAATCTATAAGCATGTTTGGAGGGAAAAATACATGTGTAGCAGAATCATGGAGACAATATACCCAAAAAATGCTATAGAAACCCCAAAGAAACACATAAGAACTATCTAGGATTTGCAATCATTGTCTCTCGAATAAAATGTATTTGCAATTGCCAAAAAGGAGAGCAAAAGCTATGCTCTACATTGGCTTTGGGTTTTGTGTGTCAGAAAGCAAAAGGAAAAAGAAAAACCTCAAAAGGTTAACTGTTATATTGAGTGCAAAATCAATTCCTATAGTTATTTGATAAATATTAAAATGGAGATTGAAAAATTAATCAAGGATAAACATAGAAAATAAAAAGTAACAAGGTTTCTTTGCTAATAGATCAAAAAAGCAACATAAAACTATAATGCTTCACTTTTCCGAAAGAATATTCCAACTTTGTAGCCAACCAAAGTTTTTTTTGATGCT